TAGTAGCTGGTAATTTTATTGTTTTTTTCTCTATTTGTAAAATTAATTATGGCTCATATAATATATGTATTTAAAATGCATAATTAATCATGGCTTTATCATATATTTAATTAATTATGATACATATAATTAATCATGATCAGGTCTTGTTGGAAGACTTTAATGATGCAAAAGGAGTAATTTGGTCTTTTTTCTATTTTTAATTATAATAATAAAAAAACTAAAAGAAATATGCAAGCTATCGTATTTTTCATAATGAAAAAAGAAGTCAAGGGTGCATGAGAAATCATTTTTTATCTATTTTTTCTCTCGATATTCTTTAAAGCATAAAAGTTTTAAGGTAAATTTTTTTTTTCAAATTACGTGAAAAACATAAAATTTTAAAATTTATGAAAATTCTAAATTCATATTTACTGCTTCTGCATAATCACAATGTATCGTTCAATATTGTATCAAATAAATATACTTCTTTCTAATTAGGTATACCAGAAAACGAGTTTTTGCTCCTTCCACAATCTACTTACGATTAGTAAGTTTTTGCTTCTAGTGAGAGGCGTATCTTTTCATTTAAAAAAAAAAAATTTCACGGTAATTTGTTGGCCAAAACAAGTATGTGTGAAAACATGGAATTAATCTTCCTAATTACATGGGCCCATTCTGCCTAACCACAAAGATTCGTGGGTGAAAAACAAATCATTGACCTTGCCCAAGCTTAAAGAAGGAGCTTAAATTTGCTCCCTCGTTTTGAGGGCGATCCATGGTGGTCTAATTCGAAGAACGCACGAACAACTCGGACCTAAAAGAAAGACTAGAAAAAGTTAACAACTGTGTAGAATATGAACAAAGTGACAACTTAAAAAATGAGGAAAGACAGAAATAAGCGACTTCACCAACCTACATATGGTGAGTTTTTTAATACCATTTGAACTAGAAAATGTAGCCCACCTACCAGCATGCTCTGGTCATTTTAGCACATTTTTCTCTATTGTAGGCTCTATTAGCTAGGTCAGTAGATACATAAAATCTAGTATTAATTAAGTCTATTGGGTTTGTTGTTGAACTGTGAAGTGTGAACCTTATCAATTTGAGCTCTCATAGGATGCTTCCAATGCCTTTTAACTTAATTTTGATAATATGTAATATCTAATTTCAGATTAACGTTTTGTCTAGTGACAAGTTCCGCTAAGAGACATTGTTTCCAGCTAAATACTTATCAAACTTTGCTATTTCCCTTCGGATAAGTGCCAAAAAGAAAGAAGAAATACGTACGTATGGTGATGAGAATACAATAGTATATGGAAGGAGTAGATACGTAAAAACAGTTCAAGAAGTCGGACAATAAAAGTAAATAAACAATTCAACTTTAAACTATCATATATATATATATATATATATATATATATTATTTTATTTAGATGCCCATTTTGCACATGTAATTTGTCTGCGAATGGATGATTGAGATCTCTACAATGGCCGTTTCTTTGATTTGCTCAGTATTTGTTTATGTTAGTTATAGATAAGCTGGGATACCAATTTCCTTAGTTTTGCTCTAATTTCAAGTTAGGTTTTCTTATAGTTTGTAAGACTGCGAGAATATTTGCTATTCATGTTATATTTTAAATAAACAAACTTTTCTTGATAAGCTTTGCCATGTTTTGATTTGTGAGGGTCTTGGCGTGAAACAAAGCTACTCACTTCCACTGCATTTACGTGGAAAAGTCTTTACTCAAAAAAATTCTCTAGTACTCGTCTTTATTCAATAATAATCCATGACAGAAGTGCTGATTTTTTTCTTTTCAAGCTACAATAATTGTTAAATGGTCCTCTAACTTTTTGTTTATTTGGATTTTGATTCAACAAATTGTTAGATTTAATAGTTGTGTGAATAAATCGTGTTAATTTTCAATTTGCTAAACCCCATTATTTACACCTTGTGTTTTCATTATATATATACTAAAACTAAGTGCTGTTTAATTGTTCCTAAACCTCTGCTACGATAGACAAAAAGGCGTGGTTTTATAATTTTTTTTTTTTTGAAAAAAAGTGAGTTTTTGGACTTTTTATAAATTTCTTTACATTTTGGTCCTTAGAGATTTAATTTTGTACAAAACGGTTTCTAACTTTTTTTATCACAAAAAAGTCCTTGTAATTTTTATTTTTTTTTAATGATTGGGCTGTTTTTCAAGCACAGGCTCATGAGGGGAATAAAAAAAACGATTCCTTCAAGACAGGACTTTAACCCACAAGAGATAGGATGTAGACTTGCATGAGCAAGAAAAGAAACCTAGAAAACTTTCAAAAAACAAAACCCTAAGAGAGAGACTAGGACTATATGTAGAGATGATAATGGATTGGATATAAAATGGATATCTATTTTATCCGATCTAATAAATACTTATTAAGAATATTCAATGAGTATTAAAATATATAAGAAAAAAAATGCATATCCATTAATATGATACCCGCTAATTTATTTAGATTTATTCTATTAACATGCAGGGATTTAATTGCATAAAATTTAAAAATTAAAGATTAAAATATTTTAAAAAAAACTTTGAGGACCAAAAAAATACCTATTAAGAATATTCAATGAGTATTAAAGTGGATAAGAGTAAAAAAAATACATATCCATTGATATGATATCGGGATATGAGTACCCACTATTTATCTTACTAATACCTACTAATTTATTTAGATTTTTTTTTATTAACATACAAGGATCTAATTGCATAAAATTTAAAAATTAAGGATTAAAATATTTTTTAAAAAAAATTGAGGATCAAAAAAACTTATAAATAAATGACTAAAATAAAAAAATAAATTTTAAGGGTAAAAAAATTTAAAAAAAAAATTATAGGAACTAAAATGAATATTTTGATAAATTAAATTTAGCTCATATTTAAATGGACAGGTAAACTAGTATGAGCTGAGTATAAGCTTAATAAAGATTTATATGGTGATTTCTTAATAGGTGATTGATAGAATATTTTTTTAATAAATAGGATAAAAAATTAAATTAATGGACCAGGTACCCATCCATTGATGTCCCTAACTACATGTAATATAATGGTTAATTAAGTCAAGAAAGGAAATAAATAAATAAATCAAAAGTCATAAGATCACATAATTTGCTTAAAGAAAATAAGTATTTTTTTTCTTCAGAGTAAATATAAATTACTCTATGTTTTTGGCAAAAAATCGAGAAGAAAATCTATAAAACATTATGTTTATACTGTGTTAAAGATCTTCATATATAAAGAATGTTTTTTAAAATACTCGATAGAAATAATTTCTTACGGTATCTGTCATAATTATAATACAATTGAATTCGTGCTGTAGCCTGGGGGCATAGCTAGTGCATGAATTGAAGAAGTTCAAATATTTATCGTTTATCTTTTAATGTTTTATGCTATGAGTGGCGGTGTTTCTTACATTACTTAACAAAAGAGAAAATGATTTTTATGTTTCAGAAATTATATGTTATTGTCGTAGGTTTTTGACACAAACAAAACCACATTTCTGTTCAAAAGCACTTTCAATACGAAATGTAGCTGTTTTTTCTTTGGCATAAACAAAAAATTGGCATTAACAAATGAAAAGATTAAATTTATTACACTAGATACTGATATTCTTTTTTTGTTAAATAAAATTTTCTATTCATAAAAAAAAGATTTAAGTAGTAGCTTATCCTACTACAATACATGAATCAATATTGAATACATGAAACAAATTAGGACAGCATCAATCCATTAAATATAAATAAAATCAAATGTTGGATTGAATATTGCTTTAATTAGAAGCTTAAAGTTGCATAACCTGCCACCAACAATCTGAGAAATCTATTTAGTCACATTATTTGGAGAAAAAATATTTTTATCATAGATTCTACAATTAATTTGTTTCTACAAACAATAAATAGTTACATTCCATACGAATCTGGTATTAATAAATTGAATTTTTTTAAAAATGTTTTATTGTCCTCTGTAATTCTATACTCTAGTTATTACCGATTACTGATATTATACTTCCTTACACGCGTTTGTCCTTGAGGACTTCTACCGTGTGATTATTACCTTGATTTGGACACGAGTCACAGAAACAGATGAAGACACCATAAAATTGTTTGCTGTAATATTATTAAGATGACTATTAAATTCATCCCCACAGAAACATTGCATGGAGAAACAGAGAGGAAAGTGGGTAAGGCCGATCATGTTGGAATTACATATGCCACCAAGGCTCACCAACTAATTTAATCTACTATTCTATTTTCATATTGACATTGAAAAGTTCTCCATTCGGAATTTGCACCCTCTCCCCTCTCTCACTTGCTACTATAAATTACCTCAAACGTCTCAAAAGGAAACGAACTTGAATCCACCACTCTCTCTACAAGGAAAGAGAGGGAAGGAGAACTTTTCAAGATTTTATTGGTGAGAAAGTGAGAAACCAAGTGAACTTTCAAACAGAAACTCCACCAACCCTCCTTCAATCAGATCCCTCTCACTCGTTCCCTCCTCCTAAGAGTTGAGAGAATTCAGCATCATTCCTACTTTGTTATTTCAAGAAACCAGAGAGTAAGTTCTTTCATGCATGCAGTTTTCTTAGCGTCAGTTTGGTAGGTGGGAAAGGGATTTTAAGCACAGAATCTTAATTGTGATTTCTTCAATACCACGAAAAGCTCACCTCAACCAAGCCTGATGGTTGCTCAAGACTCAGGCTTTAATGCTTTTTTATTGTCTTCGGGGGAGTGATAGGCTCGCCTCAACAAACTTAACACTTTGGCATTGGGCTTAAGTAAATAGATAAATCGAATTTGTTATTTCTTCTTTGATCTCTCTACCTTCTCTCCGCAAGCAAACAACAGAAACCTCCTCTTTTCTTTTCTTTTTTTATTATTATTATTTTGCATTTAAATTAATTTCTTGCTGTTGTATTGTCCATTTCAAGATGTGGGACTGATTTCATTTTCTCTTAATTCAATTCAGAAGAAGAGAAAGATGGATGGTGTGGAGAAACCGCGAGCTTCTGGCAGACGATCAGGCAGCTTGACCAGAAGCATAAGCAGGAGCTTGAGCAGGGCTAGTTGGAACATGGAAGACATGTTTTCAGTTCGCAGGCAATCTAGGAGAAGTAACCTTGTCGATGAAGATGAAGAAGCTCTAAAATGGGCTGCCATAGAGAAGTTACCGACATACGATAGGTTAAGGACAAGCATCATTAAATCTTTTGTGGACACTGAGGTCCAAGGCAACAAGCTTCTGCTGCATAAAGAAGTTGATGTCAGAAAGCTTGATGTGAATGAGAGGCAAAATTTTATCGACAAGCTCTTTCAGGTTGCAGAGGAAGATAATGAAAAATTCTTGAAAAAATTTAGACAAAGAGTTGACAAGTAAGTTTCCTATTAATCTCTACCGGTTTTATTTATTTTCCCCTCTGTTTCATCGCAGTCTAGATAATCTAGTCTTCTTGTCAGCAAATTAAAGCCAATCAATTAAGCTGTTAGAATGGTAAACAAAATAGTACATCAATTGTTTTTCTTTCTTATCCCTTTCTCAAAAAATCAGTAGTGACTATTTTTATTTTTATTTTTTTTATTTGCGACATCTTAATTTGATCAAGTCATGCTTGGCCTCACGCAAGTTACTTCATTCCTTGTCTATTTAATTTGTATTTGTTTTAATCATCGGTGTATCCATCGTTAAGCCATTTACTAGATCACAGTAAGACTTGATTTTGTTACCATGTTTGTTGCTCTGACTGTTTCATCTCAGCTCGACATCGGAGGTCGAGTCAACTCAATTAAGATGAGGACATTAAGTCATCTACATACCGTTCTTCCATTTTTTTTTTAATTTATTAATAATTTCTTTGCAATTGCAGGGTTGGAATCCGACTCCCAACAATAGAGGTTAGGTTTGATCATTTAACCATTGAAGCTGACTGCCACGTTGGCAACAGAGCTCTCCCCACCCTTCCAAATGCTGCGAGAAACATTGCTGAATCAGTCCTTGGTATGGTTGGGATTAATTTGGCTGAGAGAACAAAGCTCACAATCCTCAAAGATGCTTCTGGGATTATCAAACCATCAAGGTAATAGATTAAGCTACTTTAAATGCCATGACAGTAACTATATATAGCTCCATCCTACCAAAATAATAACGATAATAAAAAAGTGTCGCTATTAGAATATTAATTATAGGTTCTACTTAATTGTTCTGTAATTACTACTATTTATCCATTTTTATCAGTTTGATATGACCTTTTAAACTTGGTTCTGTTACAGGATGGCACTGTTACTAGGGCCCCCATCCTCAGGAAAAACAACGCTTTTGTTGGCTCTAGCAGGAAAGTTGGACCCAAGCCTTAAGGTTTGTGATTGTGACAAATATGATATATATATAAATATAATGTGGTATAAATAGGTTGGTCATACATAAGGATGACGTTTTCTTATAATCGACACAAGTTTTTAATAATTTTGGCTATTGATTATCGCATTAAACAGGTTACAGGAGACATAACGTATAATGGATATGGACTTAATGAATTTGTGCCACGGAAATCATCAGCATATATCAGCCAAAATGATGTTCACATAGGAGAAATGACTGTGAAAGAAACCTTGGATTTCTCAGCAAGGTGTCTAGGGGTCGGGACCCGATATGGTATTTAACTAATACTTTTGTTAATTAAGGGATGAAAACTAATTAAGATCAATTATATCGAATTGATTATGTTATCCTTAAATCCATAGATCTCCTAAGTGAGCTTGCAAGAAGAGAGAAGGATGCTGGAATATTTCCAGAGGCAGAAGTGGATCTTTTCATGAAGGTATATGCCAAAAACTAGAGTCATAATTTAGCTACAGAGAAAGGCAAGTTGTCTCATGCATATGTGGCATGACATCACAAATCTTTCACAGTCCACAACTTACATAAATTTCACCTGTAATTTTCAGGCAACTGCGATGGAAGGAGTTGAAAGCAGTCTTATTACTGACTACACGCTCAAAGTAAGTTCAAGAGATTTTCCCTATCATTGCCTGAAATAACTTAAGAGGATGGCGACATGGAAATTTCATGCGTAGTGTTTGTCTTTTCCAAGTTGTCTTTAACACTCTTCAAGTTTCTGATAAGCTCACAATTGTCACCACAAGATCTCTTTTGGAATTTCCACATTGTCAAAGATTTCTCCTCATCACCTACTCCGTTGACTGGCTTCTAACCCTGTTGGTGTTTCTGGGCTGTACCGACCCCTACCCTCTTCATTTATTTTTTAAGACTTTGGGTTGGTGAGCCAACTTTTGTGAGGATTAATACTTTACAAATCCACCAACTGCGCATATCGTCGTAATTTCTTCCGAAAAAAATTGAAATGTCGTTCTCAAATGAACTAATTTTTCCCTTTTTTGTTTTTTGTTTTGTATGAGACAGATATTAGGACTAGATATATGCAAGGATACCATTGTTGGAGATGAAATGATACGAGGGATATCGGGCGGACAGAAAAAGCGAGTGACTACAGGTTAATTATTTCTTATTAGCTAATTTCTATTATGAATTGTTCATATGCTTTTCACCGACACAAATTAATTTTTTATTTTTTGGATAATATTCTCTGAATTGTAGCTGGTTTACTTTTCAATTAAAAACATTATAGTAGACAAATGGAGTATGACATATTCTAACCGCACAGGAAAAGGGCCTAAAATTAGCTTTCTATAATATTATATTGACCAATTCCTTATGTGGTTCTCCCACCAACTTTTCATTAGAATGGAATGGACATCTCGCACCGGCTGTTTTTCACACTTGTGCCTTCGCATTGCAAAAAAAAAAACAAAAAAATGGAAGTCAAAGTCTTCAGAGTACGGAAAATAAGATGTGCCTACTTTCAAGTTTGTGATTCTGGACGAACTTCGTAAGGCCCAGAATAGCTAGAAACCTGAGTAGGTGATTATCAGTTACAGGAATCTTGACCCATGAGCTAACAACATTATTAATGACAAATGCATGCACATAAATCGCATACGACTATAAGAACTTGGTTGGTAGAAAGAAACTTGAATTTTTCATCATATATTAACTACTGACTAATATATACTAGCCAGATCTTTTGTTGTTGTGGTTCAAATTATTAACATGATTCTAATGTATTTTTGTGAGGAATAGGATCATTATGCTCTCATTAGACACACACACTTGTTGCCTTTGAAACTGCAATTAATTAACTAATTAATTTTGTTAGGAAAAATAAACTATAGAGGTTAGGCCTAGCTGTGTGGCCAATCATGGAATAATAAAAATTTGGACTGCGACACAACATGCCGATCAGTAACCCTTTTGTGAACGAACCAAGTGGATATAGGTTGGATAAATGGCACATAAATCATATTTTGGACAAGGTCAAAGAATCTTTGTTTAATGACATTATGGGCAAGCATGTAGCGTTTTATGTTTGTTCTTATTGTGTCCTAATAATTAATTTCATTGATTAATTCAGGAGAGATGATTGTTGGACCCACAAAAACATTATTCATGGATGAGATATCAACCGGTCTAGATAGCTCCACGACATATCAAATAGTGAAGTGCTTGCAACATATTGTACACTACACTCAGGCTACAATCTTGGTGTCCCTACTCCAGCCTGCTCCTGAGACGTTTGATCTCTTTGATGATATCATCCTTTTATCTGAAGGCCAGATTGTGTACGAAGGCCCACGAGAGCATATTCTTGATTTCTTTGAGACCTGTGGGTTCCGCTGTCCCGAGAGAAAGGGCACAGCTGATTTCTTACAAGAGGTAAGTAAACGCCTCCTAGTTTTATTGAAAATGGCCCAACCTAACATTTCTTTTTATAAGGCCTAACCTAACCAATTGGTGGGCTTTAGCCTATATCAAGCAAACCTAGACAGACATCTTAATAGTTTGATTCATGGTCTGTGACTGCAGGTTACTTCAAAGAAAGACCAAGAGCAATATTGGGCTGATAAAAACAAGCCATATAGATACGTAACAGTGCCAGAATTTGTTGAAAGGTTCAAGAGATTCCATGTGGGCATGAGGCTAGAGAATGAGCTTTCCGTGCCATTTGACAAGTCTCAAGGCCACAAAGCAGCTCTATCATTCTCAAAGTATTCGGTTTCCAAGTGGGAGCTACTTAAAGCATGCTGGGATAGAGAATGGATATTGGTTCAGAGAAATTCGTATGTTTATGTAGCCAAGACGGTCCAGCTTCTACTCATGGCAGTTATAGTGTCCACAGTGTTTATCAAGCCTAGAATGCACACTCGGAGCGAAGAAGATGGAGCAGTTTATATTGGTGCTCTTTTGTTTACTATGATCATTAACATGTTCAATGGTTTTTCTGAGATCTCACTTATAATCAAGAGACTTCCTGTATTTTACAAGCAAAGAGATCTTCAATTCCATCCTGCCTGGACTTTCACTCTGCCAACTTTCTTGCTACAGCTGCCAATGTCAATAATCGAGTCTGTTGTTTGGGTGTCAATTACCTATTACTCCATTGGGTTTGCCCCTGAAGCTAGCAGGTAAAGATCATAGCCATACCAAAACTTCTCAAATTAAGGATGCTATTGCATTGCATGATCATTTGAGTGACATCTTCCTTACCTTGTTTTGCAGGTTTTTCAAGCAACTCCTACTGGTCTTTATCATCCAGCAAATGGCTGCTGGGCTCTTCCGGCTTATTGCTGGGGTCTGCAGAACCATGATCATTGCCAACACCGGCGGGGCTCTCACTCTGCTCCTTGTTTTCTTGCTTGGAGGTTTCATCTTACCTAAAGGTTAGAATGATACCAACACCTTAAATGTAGTTTTGTTGTACCAAAACTTTAGTCCCTGTCTCAGAATTCTCTGCAATTGTTGGCTTTCAATGCATTAATAAAGAGTCGTTAAAATGGTGACAGGTACCATTCCAAACTGGTGGGAATGGGCTTATTGGGTTTCACCTCTGTCATATGCTTACAATGCCATTGCTGTGAACGAAATGCTTGCCCCAAGGTGGATGAACAAAACGGTATGATATGATGTTTAAAATAATTCTATCTACAACATATACCATTTCAGATTAAATATCAATCAAATATACTAGAGTTAGCATTAGACTTATTTTTTCATAAATAAAAGCAAGTTTAAGAAGAATATTTTGATTGCATTGCAGGCTTCAGACAAAGCTACCAGATTAGGCATAGCAGTGCTCAAGAACTTTGATGTTTACACAGATAAGAACTGGTATTGGATTGGCACAGCTGCTATTCTTGGTTTTGCTGTTCTATTCAATGTTCTCTTCACCTTTGCCCTCGCGTACTTTAGCCGTAAGTCATAGCATTACCTTCAATCAAAATGCCTGATGTGAATTTTTTACTATTCACAATTCGTTCTCTTCTTTAAGTTAGCTAATCTTCTCCATGTTTTTGTTTGAAACAATAGCTCCTGGAAAGCCACAGGCTATAATCTCTGAGGAAACAACAAAAGAAGGAACGACGGCATTATCCTCTTCTGATGGAAACAATACAAGTAAGGAACCTTAAAAAAAAAAAGGATTCCATAATCTACGTTTCAATGTTGTCAGAACTCAGTGCTTTCTATAAAATGATTGAATTGCTTACATGGACATGTAATATCTCAGGTGAAATGGCAATCTTGAGAATGAGCAGCCGATCCAATCCCAATGGACTAACTGGAAATGCCGATTCACTTGAAGCAGCAAATGGAGTTGCTCCTAAGAGAGGAATGGTTCTTCCTTTCACTCCTCTAGCCATGTCCTTTGACAGTGTGAATTATTTTGTGGACATGCCCCCTGTAAGAATCAATGCCTTCTACTTTCACTCTGCCTCAAACCTTAGTTTAGAAAATGCTTCATCGTCTCATAGACATGCTACTTATAAACCAAAACTCTTGTAATAGGAAATGAAGGAGCAAGGAGTCCCAGAGGATAGGCTGCAACTACTTCGAGAAGTAACAGGAGCATTCAGGCCTGGAGTCCTCAGGGCATTAATGGGAGTCAGTGGAGCTGGAAAGACCACACTGATGGATGTTTTGGCCGGAAGAAAGACTGGTGGATACGTTGAAGGTGAAATTAGAATCTCCGGGTTCCCCAAGAAGCAGGAAACGTTTGCCAGAATTTCTGGATATTGCGAACAAAATGATATTCACTCTCCTCAAGTCACTGTTAAAGAATCATTGATTTATTCAGCATTTCTTCGTCTCCCTAAAGAAGTCAGCAAACAAGAAAAGATGGTAACTTTTTACCGTTCCACACTTCTGCTTATCATAATAAAAATCTGAGGTAATAGTTTACGAGCTAAACCAATGGTGGGATTTTTATCTTTTCAGATTTTTGTGGATGAAGTGATGGAATTGGTGGAACTAGGCAATCTCAAGGATGCTGTAGTTGGGCTTCCAGGAGTTACAGGGTTGTCAACAGAACAGAGAAAGAGGTTAACAATAGCAGTGGAGCTGGTTGCTAATCCCTCCATCATTTTCATGGATGAACCAACTTCTGGTCTTGATGCAAGGGCAGCTGCCATTGTTATGAGGACTGTGAGAAACACGGTCGATACTGGAAGAACAGTTGTCTGTACGATCCATCAACCTAGCATTGACATCTTTGAAGCCTTTGATGAGTTGCTATTAATGAAGAGGGGAGGACAAGTAATCTACTCAGGGCCATTGGGTCGAAATTCTCACAAGATCGTTGAATACTTTGAGGTAATTTGATCTCCCTGAGATTTTATTAATCCAATAATTGACAAAACGGATTCCATAATCTGATATCATGCATACAGGCCATTCCTGGAGTCCCTAAAATCAAAGAAAAGTACAATCCTGCAACATGGATGCTAGAAGTGAGTTCAGTTGCAGCTGAGGTCCGGCTTGGAATGGACTTTGCAGAATACTACAAATCTTCATCCTTGTATCAGTATGTCAAGTCACAACCACATAAAAATTACGTGTTTATTCTTGATGCTAAATTCTAAAGTTTGAGCTCAATTCTTGTTTCCATATGAGCAGGAGAAACAAGGCTTTGGTGAAGGAATTGAGCACACCACCACCAGGAGCAAAAGACCTTTATTTCGCCACTCAGTATTCTGAGTCTGTATGGGGGCAGTTCAAATCTTGCCTTTGGAAGCAGTGGTGGACATACTGGAGAAGCCCTGATTATAACCTCGTCAGATACTTCTTCACCTTGGTTTGTGCTCTCATGCTTGGTAGCGTATTCTGGAGGGTTGGGACTAAAAGGTCAGTATCTATCATTCCTGCTAAGAATACAATGCACACAGGCATCGTTGATCTCTAGGCGAAAAATTTATTTATGTTCAATTATCATTCAGGGAGAGCTCAAGTGACCTGTCTATGATTATTGGTGCCATGTATGCTGCTGTCTTGTTTGTTGGCATTAACAACTGCTCGACTGTGCAACCAATAGTAGCAGTTGAAAGAACAGTGTTTTACCGAGAAAAAGCTGCTGGAATGTATTCTGCATTACCTTATGCCATTGCACAGGTGAGTTGAAGTGGGATCGATCTGTATCCTTAAAGCTTGCGTACATACCAACTTATTGATTACATGATCAAACTGACTGAATTCTGTATTATATGACGTGCAGGTTGTTTGTGAAATACCATACGTTTTTGTTCAAACTACGTATTACACACTTATCGTGTATGCCATGGTGGCCTTTGAATGGACTGCAGCCAAATTCTTCTGGTTTTTTTTTGTCAATTTCTTCTCCTTCCTTTACTTCACATACTATGGAATGATGACCGTTTCCGTTACCCCAAATCACCAAGTAGCAGCCATCTTTGCAGCAACTTTCTATTCTCTCTTCAATCTTTTCTCTGGCTTCTTTATTCCAAGACCGGTATGTTAATTTTCTTTAAAGTAATGTCTTTGATGATCATTTTTAACTTGAATTTTTGTTTCAGTACAATAACACAAATTTGTTTCCGTTTGAAATTTCAGAAAATTCCCAAGTGGTGGATCTGGTACTACTGGATGTGCCCTGTAGCGTGGACAGTGTATGGACTCATTGTGTCCCAATATGGAGATGTTTTAGACGGCATTAAAGTTCCTGGTCGTGATGACAATCCTGCAATAAAGGTTTATATACAAGACCATTTTGGGTATGACCCAGATTTCATGGGGCCGATTGCCGCAGGATTAATTGGCTTTACAGTCTTCTTTGCTTTCTTGTTTGCCTTCTGCATAAGGACTCTGAACTTCCAAACAAGATAGGAGAAGTTTATCAAAGTAGTGCTTAAATTTCTTGTAGCAAGATTCGTACGTCAAATAGTTGAGCTTGTAGATATATAATAGAGGCCATACGAATTAAAGCTTGGTATAAGGTATCGGGTGGCAATTGTATAAGGCTTGTATCGATCTTTATAGGAATATATATAAATATATATTGTAGATGTTGTTTTGCAAATTAAGTATATGCAAGTGTTTATTAGTCAGCCAAGATGATGATCAATACTTTGAACTAAGAGCTTTAACAAGTTTATATATAAATGTAAAGGCTATTAAATCATATAGACTTGGGAAAAAAAATTATTGCCTAATTCAGCAATCAAGATAATGCAGCATGGTTTGCACATGTTAACAACGTGTACTTTAAGCTAAGTAGCCTTCTTCCTCTTTGTAGGACTCTCTCTCCCTCTCTCTCTCTCTCTAAGACCCTTTTCTCTTTCCATATACTCTACTCTTTAACAAAATCCTGCTTCTGTTTTACAGATCTTCTCCTAGTAGAGGTTCCCATCAGCAATTATTCTCCTCTTTTCTAATTCGTTTGTTTTTCCCAGCTTTTAGTGTTCAAAATTATTTATTCTCTGGTTCTAGCATTTATTGACCCTCTGTTGGAGCATTCATTGCCTTCTCTGGCGGTGATTACTAGAGAGGATGTAGTGATAGAAAAGACGCAAGGTCTTGGGGTGAATGATATAGTTTTGGATCTGGATACTTTGGTTGATGAATGGCAGAACACCAGAAAATACAGACTGGTGGGGAAGATCCTGACTGACAAATTCATAAGTGTTGCTACGGTAGAGATTAGAGAACACTGTCAGAAGCTCCTGGAAGCTAGCAAGGGATGTGTGGGTGGAAAACCAGGACCAGAAGAGGAAAAGATGAAAGAGGAGCTGAGTTGCAATACCTTTTTTCCACTTTCTTAGAAGTCTCTCATGCATTCTCTGTTTCTTGTTCACTTCGAAACAACTTTGCTGCTTCCCTCAGAAAAACAGAAAAAGAAATGTGGGAGCATCCTAACTCTAAGCAAGGACGTCCTTCTACCCTCTGTAGGGTTTTTCTAGCATTACAGGTAGCAGTATGTTTAATTCCTCTTTCTCTCTCTGTTATTAATTTTGAATTAAACTCGACATGCCTAAAATCAATGAGGGGAGTGATGGGATCGAGCGCCATCCGTTTCCTTTTTTTTTTTTTTTTTTTCAGTTTACATATTTTCCTTCTGGTCAAACTTGACATTAGACCAGACTACACTGGTAATTCTGCATTTCTCATCTTTTTCTAGCTTTGCTTCTATCTTTAATGCTCTCCATATATAACAATGCATGTTCAATTTGATTAATTCAGTTCTCGCAACAGAAGTACTTGCTTGTATTTAATGCTTTTGGTACTTGACTTACACGCAATAACTACCGGATGGTAGAGACTGATATATTGGAAGAGGCAAATGAGTTGATCAGTTGAATGGAATCCATCCCAGTGGGAGGAATGTCCTCCAATGGGCCGGTATGCCTTGTATGAAAGACGAGCACTCGTTTTCTTACTCGGAACCATCAAGTGAGCTGGAGGGCTCTCTAGTTACTGGCGATGATCCAACAGTGTTGGAAATGATTGTGGTGAAAGATGCCAAAGTTGGAGTCAAAATCTGTATCTAAATCTTATTCTTACGTTTCATGGATGATCCCACAGGATTGCCTCTGGAATCAGGTTTTTTTAATCTAAACTGGAAATGCGTTGCATGATTTCATGGAAATTTGTACGGTTAACTTTTCTTCAAGTCTGCATAAATATTTCTGGTTCGGAAATCAACATTTGGACCTTTAGGACTACTTTCCTTGTTGTTAAAGTCCAAAAGGAGGTTTATGTGGCTCACAACCGTTACTTTGTAAGCATTGTTATACAATAGTAAGAGAACATTTCGTTATCGTTATGCAAAATTATTAATATCTCAATGTCATTTCACACAAATAACAGCAAATAATGACATTATTATTATATAATATCGTTATTTGCTGTTATATCATGGCATTACAAAAAGAAAGAAAAAAAGCTAGAATTTCAGCCACTTCAGCTATTGAAATTCAGGCAGAGAGGCAGAAATGAGAGACAAAGAGGTAGAGAAGCAAAGAGGCAGAGATGAGAGGCAAAAAGGCAGAGAAGGAGAAAAGTTTTGGGTGATAACAGAGGCAGAGAACAGATAAGATAAGGGAGAGGAACTTGAAAAAAAAAACCTTTTTTGTTTTGAAAAGCAAGAGAACCAATGTGAACGATTTAATATCAAATACCTCATTTGCAGGTTTTGATTGAATAAATTATAAATTACTCCTTTTATTTTAAAAAATAATTTAGCTAGTCCTTCTATTTCAAAAACCAATAATTTATTTATTTTGTTTATTTTATATTTTTTAATTTATTTTTCTTTTTTGTTCTAAAAAACAGAAAAAGGAAAAAATAAATTTATACCTTGAAAAAGATTGATGAAAAAAATACAAAATAAAATATAATACATTAAACACGATTAATAGATTAGATAATTAATTTTTAAAACATTAAAGGCTAATTAATTCATTTATTAAAACTAGAGGGACTAATGTATAATTTAATCTTTATTATTCCACTTTGTTTGTCTTGCATACACAAATTCAAAAGTTTGCAAAGCAAATGCAGACTTTAATTGAATAAATTATAAATTAGACTTTTTAGTTTGAAAAAATAAATTAGGTGGCTCTTATTGTTTTAAAAACTTATCACTATTTTTTTTCTAAATTTTATGTTATTTTCTAATTTATTTTTCAAAACTAGTTATGGTTATAATTTTGATAGATAATAATCACAACATTAATAATAAAATGATAACTATTATTATGATTCTCCATGTTAATTTTTTAAAAGATGAATATTTTATAATATGTATATTGAAATTATGTCCTCATGTTGCTACTGGTGGCACTGGACTAGTTGTGTTGAATGTAGGTTAGTGGTACACTTTATGGAGCTCTTCTTGGTTCCCTTCCTGTCTATTAGATTTTTCCTCAAGTTTCAATGCATCTTGACGGATGTTGCTTAATTAATGGTTTGGATTCATGTAAACAGGAAGGAGGGATTTTTATGAGCACGCCCAACTTCAGGATTTTTATGAACCCCTCCAGGCCCTAAAACACTATCATTGTGCTTCTCGCTGGCCCAGGCCCATGATCAGCGGACCTGGAAGTGACACTAAAATTGAAATAAAAAGGAGTTGGGGTTAGATGCAGGATCGGCCCATTTCTAAGATCTCCTTTTGGATACCCATTACCAAAAAAACAGGAAAACAAAATGACTCTCTAGATTCTGATCTATGTGCACGATGGACTCAGACTCGGACTCAATTGGACTGTACATTTGTCCTTCCTCTTGCATGGGTCATTTTTCAGATGGGCTATTGTTCATTATCCATGACTAAACTCTCATTAAAAAGAGGGCTGTTGATAAATAAGAAGGGTTTGGTGAGTTTTTTATTTTGTTGGATTCTGTATATAAGTTCACCTCAATTAAAAGACAATTACAGTTTTGCCTTTGATTTTTGATGGTTGAGTGTTGAAAAATAGTAGATTTGGCATTTTCGTTGTTCAAGATGATTTGGTGGGTTTTATACGAGAGGGACTTATCAGTCATTTCAACCGCCCTGTAATTTTACAATTATCGAAATATGATCTTCTAGACCAATAAGGCAATAACTAGCCAAGGTAGAAAGAAGCAGAATTCCTTAAAAGGAAATCGAAAATTTAAGAAAGAAGAAATAAAATCCTATAGAATATTTTAATTCGCATGCACCGTATTCTTTATCTTTTTTTCGTCCAGCAACAAAGTATACCCTGTGGTTTTAGAGTCCCATGCTTTTATCCTTACACTATGAGTCCACATCACAGTTTTTTCAATATTAAGTCGATCAAGGTACGTAAAATGTCTCTACATACAAGAATAACTTCAATTTTAGTATATTAGGAGACAAATTAAAAGAAAATTGTCTCAATTTATAATCTAGAAATATCATTAAAATTTTAATTTAAGGCAAAAGAAAGACTTGCCTGTAAAAATAAGATACAACCAACAACTTCAATTCCTTCACCATCGTTGCAATAGCTTAGTTGATGCTTATTTATAAAAGAAGCCAATCACACAGATAAAGTGGACCCTTACAGGATTTGGCTGCCTCCATATAGTGCAGAACATTGAGCAAAGAAGATCTATATTTATGCTTTGGATTGAACAAAGCAAACAACCAAGAGCAGATAGGAAAAACTAGTCCGCTTCATGCATTATGTTACGTACATAACTAAATATATTTATTTTAGTTTAATAATATGCACCATATTGCCAATTAACAAAAAATAATATATTAAAGTAAAAATAAAATTTCATAAAAATTTATAGTTTTTAATCAAAATTTTATATTTAATTTTTTTGTGTATATTTTTAACAAATTAAAAAAAAAACGTGATTTGTTATTTCTTATGTATTTGTTTCTTACATAAAAACCCATAATGATCTAAATATAAAATTTTAAAAAATATCTTAATAACTTTTTCATATCATTGCATCGAAAAAAAGAGCAATAATTAATATAAAAAATAACAAATTAATCCTTTTTATTCTTATTTAATATTGATGATAAGATTAACTAATATTGACGATAAGATTAACTTTTTTGAAAATATGTGCATTTGATTTATATGTATCTATTTACAAAATAATGAATGATATTAGTATAAAAGTTGTATTTGGATTATTAAGCGAGTTCTTCTAAAATATTTTATTTTAATTAATTTATTTAAAAGATTTTAATTTTAAAATACTAAACAAAAAGATATGGCCGGTGATATGGGTCTAGATGTATAGTTAATTTTCAATAAAATCAATAATTCTAATTGTTTTTTATATATCATGACTATATTCAGTGGATTGTATGTAACATAAATAAAAAAACATTTTAAAAAAATTGAAGTTGTAAAAAATACATTGAAATTAATAGAGTGCAATAAAAATAAGCTGCAAAATTGATTTTGATAAATTTTAATTATATAAAGAATAAGCAAATGAAACAGGTAAATTTTATTTTTAAAGTTTGATTATATAAAAACTAAGCGAGATAAAAACAACTAAAAAAAACTTATTTGAAAATCTGTACATAAAGAAAATAAATCATATTTTTAACAAATTAAATTATATAAAAAAAATAGAAACTAAAGTGTAATATTTGTTAAAACTTACGTATCAAATACCTAAATATAAGTCCAAAATTACACAAATATTATATCAAATGCCTAAATAAACCTTAAAATTATAATAATGCCCTTCAATATAATAATATTAAATGAATAGTATTAGTGAGTGCAGATAAATAATGAATGAATAGTAAAATAAGTATAAATAAACACTCAATGAGTGAATAGTAATCATTTTAAATATTTTGGATTTTCTCATAATTGTCTTACATCTTATCAACCTCATCTTTTTTCCTTTTCCTTTCTTTTTTTATTAATAGTTATCATTTTAAATCTTTTGGGTTTTCTCATAATTGTCTTACATCTTATCAACCTCGTCTTTTTTCCTTTTTTTTTTTTTTTCTTTTATAACACACACACACACACACACATATATATATATAAACAAAACACACATTTTCCTATTAATCTCTCTTTCTCTCACATATCCAAAACAATAAATAATAGGGCCTATTTTATTTACTTGTTTGCCCTCGTTTCTTCGCCTCTTGTGTTTTTGTATCTTTTAATACGTGCCTTTCACTATTCTCTTTTGAAGTGGTGTTCTGATCTTACCACCTAGAGGTTTTTTGGGGTTGGTTATGGGAATTTTTCAAGCGTTTTAGGAACTATTATTGCATCCAATGACGACTTTTTATTCTTGCAACTTTACTGTTTTTTCTTCT